TCTCCAGTCCGTTGTAGTTACTTAGTCCAATCGAAGGAAATCAAGCGAATTGTCAAGCAAATGTGTAAACCAAAGTGCAAAATATGAAATGTCTTTACGTGAAAAAGTAATGAAGTGTAATTCAAAATGTCATTCAAGCCGACCATGTTGCAACAAGCAGGTTAATTTATATATATATATATATATATATGGCGAAACGCGTAATGGTATTTAGCCTATTTCGTAGAACAGTTTTTTTCCCTTGAAAAGCCAACTGAGAGTACGAGTGGGCTAATTTACCATTTTTCCGCTATTTAATTATTGTTTTTGTAGCTGGTTTTTGATGCTTTTTGTGTCTTTATTCTATTTTTTTTTAATTTTGATTTTAATTTTTATGTACAGGCATATTATATAGTGGCAATTTTTAATTTTAATTTTTATGTATAGGCATTTTATATATTGACATTTATAATCCATGTTTTTTGCAACTTCCTTATATATATATATTTTTTCGTCCATCTATTTTTCATGTGAGTTAACTTTTCACATTTCACAACGGTCAGATTCATTAATTTTTTTCGTGCATTAACAAGTCTTCCAGCACTAAAATTTGGAAGTTTTATCGCGCTTATACAGTTTTTCCAGTTTTACCAGACAAATTTCTTATTGTTTATGTAGTACTATGTTACAACATTTCGTGGAGCTACAGCTCCTGGTAACTTTTTAGCAAGGTTGCTGCAATGTTCCTACCTACTACTATTCTTTCAAATCTTTTTGCAGCATTATGCGCAAAAGTTTTTGAGACCAGATAGGTCTTACGTCTAATTACCAGTTAGCTTTACATTTTCTTTTTCAATATACATATATATATATATATATATATTTATATATAAAAATTTTGTTTTCTTTAATAACAAAGGCTTAAATTTTGTTTTGGACAACTTTAATTTTTTTTACGTATTTTGAATAAAAGGTTTTAATGGCACGCTTTGATTATTTTTTTAAAACGGCATTTGTATTTTTGAGGAAAGCACGTCTCTTAAATAACAGCCTTACCGTGAAGTTTTTCATACTTTTTCTAAATAGCTTCTGTCGTTCTATAGAATGCCTAGGTATTATATCAATATCTAGGTAATATTGTAGAGAAATTAGAATATTTTGGAAGCAGGAGACGTAAAAAATGACCCACGCCTTCGCCGGGAATCGAACCACGGATCTCTGGGTTACACGCCCAGCGTGTTGACCACTACCCTAGAAGGCATGTTAAGAAAGCGAGAGAAATACCTTATAATGTATGTATTATAATAATATTGAATAGTTTGCCTAAAAACTCCAGGCATGCTATAAAATGGCTAGTTATTCTATAAAATGTCTATGTATTATACAGAATGTTGATGTTTATACATTGGAGGTAACATGTGTATTACTGAGACACTCTACATGAACTGTGGGGAGATTGTTTTAGGTTGGATAGAGTTAAATGGAGAATAAGAATAAGCTTTTGGAATTCAAAAACAATAATGCTTTGCGTTTCTAATTGGATTATAAAGCAAGATTTAAATTCAGTGAGGGCAAAACTAGATAACAGTTTAGCTGAAAATCATATGCTTTGGGTGTTTTTATTAACATACATAATGAAGAAATAACAGTTTGGCTTTCAAAATAATTTTAAAAATCTTAAATGAAAATTAAAAATTGGACCAGTGAAATTGGGGATTATTATTTGCCGTTTGCATTTGCTGTCGCAGGTAGAAATTAACTATTACTTTCATTTCTTTGACATTACGTTGAAGATCTGTACTGTTTACCGTGCCGTGAGTGGGTAGCAGCAGTCACGTGTTTGTTTTTCACGACAAATTTTGTAGTTCATTTGTTCTGTCTGTCACAATTTTTGGCACTTTACAAGCTGAACTTTAAATTCAACAGTTGATCACGTTTCTTGGCATTACTTTTATTTTCTAGCTCAGTTTGAAAACAGAATGAACTTTTGAAGGTCAAAATAGAGCATTGGAATAGTTGAGATTAATTTCCCTCCATAGAGTTCAGTCCGACCTCAAATTTTCCATGATATCCTGAAAGGAGTTTGATTTTATTGTCTTGCTGCAGATTCAGTGAATATTTATATAAAAAGAGAATTAATGTTTTATTTTTAATCAATTATTTGAGGAGTTTTAAGTAGAGTGTTATTCAAAATGATTGACTTAATTTTGGGCGAGCAAAATTGCATACCTATATTGTATACCTGGTATATGCATATTAACTTAATTTATGAGAAGCAGAAAAGAAAATATCTGAATTTTACACTGCCATCATCAGAAGAAGACTATAATATCATTGTGGCCTCAGCGGGATAAAGGTGTTTTTTAGGAGCTTTTAATTGCAAAATAACAGGTCTCTTGAAGTTTTAGAAATTTCAATTAGTAATCCCTAATTTTGTTTTTAAACTTTATGAAATGTATTCAAATCTTGGATCACGAAATTATTTTCTGAAGGCCGTTCATCAACTGAAATAATTTTTCTCATAAGATTTAATGTAAAAGATTAAATTGTTCTTGGATATTATATAATTGCTTATTTAAACTTTACAACAGTATTTGCGAATAAATTCATACCCCAAAATAAATGGAAGTCATTAAATAAAAAACAAAAAAGAATAAATAAATAAACATAAAATTGAACAAATAAAGTAAACGATAAGTTAATTTGATTTTACTGCATGTCTACGAACGAGAGTAGACAGGATAAGTGGAAAATGATGAGAAAGATATTATTATTTACATTCATTCCATAAAAAGCAATTAGAATCATCTTAGGAAGCATATACGGGTGACCACTCCGGAACTCTGATTAGGGCGAGGGGCTTGCGAAGACTATAACTTATATTTGGTACTAAAGACACTTTTGACAATGTTTCAGTTGCTAGAAGAGAGAGAAGCTTCCCAAAGTTGATTAAAAGAAATCTTCGATGAACAGTGAACCAAGCAAGATATAATTTGGCAATCCCCTCCGTTGAAAATGCAGTATCTAAAAGCATTAATTTTAATGAAGCTACAAAAGAAGTTTTAGAAATCAAAGCTCTCAAATAATAATTTTAGTTGTTTTATTAACATAAAACATCATATTTCAACGGAATCATAGTCATATTTCAACGGAAATATCCATTATGACCGTTAGTTTTTTTGACTGATGTCTGTACGTACGAACAGAATAACGGACTCTTTTTTTTTTTTTTTTTCTTCTAAAACAGGATTTTAAAACGGATTTAAATTAGATTCAGAAAGGATTTCTTTTCGTGATGTCTGTACGTACGTATGTATATATGTACATGTATGTATGTAGCTCGCATAACACAATAAAGATTAATCGTATAACTTTGGAATTTTTGTACATGGGAAACAGTTGTGCACCTTCCTTCTTTATTTCTATCGGAATTGGCAATAAAACCAAATGTATATATAATATCCACCCACTTACGCGGTTTAAAAGTCTTTATCCGGACTTTATTTTCGCTATCCCTGGTCGTAGTCATATGCTTTCAGTTACAGAAGTGTTAGAAATGACGAAAATATTCATGTTTTGGCAATTTCAGATATTAAAAAAAATTAATTTTCGGCAAATAATGAAATCCAACTTTTAATGTAGTTTCTAAACACCACTCCACTCTGCTTAAGTCCCTCATTCGCTCAAATTATACCAATATGATTTATTGTTGCCTACATTTTAAAATGTTTCTATAGTAAGGCATGACACTGTTTCTGAAAATGCTTATTCTGCTGGCTACTGCTTTATCAGAGTCATATCGTTGCGTGAAAACTTTGCATCTCAATCCCAGTTTGCAGAAACTTAAGATTATTTTTCTTTCTTCCTCCTTTAACCATCCTCAAAAGCGCAAATGCGCTTTTGCAGCCGAGGATGGTAGTTCGGTAAAACCATCGAAACTAGTCCTGTAAAAATTTGAAAATATAACGCTGATTTTTGTTGTTTGACTTCTGAATTAGTATTTGTTCGGCGTGTTATTGTGTCTTAACTGTTAGCTATTTTAACAGTTGATAGTTAACTATTTGACTTTAGAAAAAAAAAATGCTAACTGCTAAACTATAGTGAATAGGAAACTAAAAATATATTCATCAAATTGTATTTGGCGGTACCGCAGTGTTTTGTACACTTCAAAGAATTTTAAAGTTTTGTCAGAAAGTTCGCCATTAGCGATGAAATTTATCAGAAATTTAACTTGGCGATCAGAGACTTACATTTTCCTCCGATTAGGCAAGACTATTAGCAGCTAGTATTTTTACTATAATGTACTTTAAGATGAGTAGATTCAAGCATATTTTTAAAAAAAAGTTGAGAGCTCAAGGTTGGGTTGAAAGACTTTCATTGTAAGTATTATTCCTAAATATAAAATTAACTAAGCAAAACCCTTATGTTTGTCATAGATTTTAGTCAAGATCTACCTATTTCGACCGCAAACAGGCACAGATCCCTCTTCATAAGGAGCAAAAACATCTGCAACGAAGGGAAAGCCACGGCTGTATTTATACCTAAAGGGAGTACCAAAGACAGTTGCTTTATTTCCTTTCGGTAAAAGTATAATCATGGTTTTCTCTTCGTTGCAGATTTCTTTGCTTCTGGTGAAGAGAAATGAACCTGTACCTATTTGCTCTAAAAATGAGGGTCTTGACTAATAAAATCTACGCTGAACACAGGATTGTTGCTTTACTAATTTTAGGCTTTACATTGGCGTGTTTCTCTTCTATTGTGGCTATTCCTAAACATTTGTGTTTTTGCTTGGGCTCTTTTATATGACTTGTAAAATAGATAACTTTTATAGCAATATACACGAATACTGCAAGAATTTTGATGGATATTTCGAGTGGACCTTTATTTCGGTACTTTTTTGTAGATAATTTTTTGCCATTATTTTTCAGGTGTTCACAAATAGTCATAATTATCTTGCATATAATTTTTAATTTGATATAGAGGTAGTGTCTAATATGGGTATCCTTTATTTTCTTTTTCAGATTTTTGGTGATGCTGCCTTTGCACAAACAGTCCTCGAAGGTCGAAAAGTAGAAGATGTGTTCGCTGTTGTCTGGGCTTGGGGCGTGGCTGTCATGCTGGGCGTGGCAACCTGTGGAGGCATCAGCGGTAAGCAGACGTTTAATGAAGATGAACATTAAGGTTTTATGAAGAAAATGGGATCACGATAATGATAGAACGTAAAAGAACACCATAAAAGCAATCGTAAAAATAATCTCGTTAATAAAACTATGTATTAATGAAATAAGATTGTACAAAAAGCAAATGCAGGAAATCGAACCATTAATAACTGCCCTTGAATTAAATTTTTGAACATTTCTGTATAAAATAATTTGTCTCTATACATATATGCATTTTTTATGTTTCTCGCTTCCTAAAAGATATATAGCATATACGATTTTAGATGTTGAAGATTTTACTCAAAGAATGGTCAAATAGTACAAAATTTAATAAAAATGAGTAAATATCTCTAAAAAGAAATACATTAAAATAGTTGACTAATTTCCGTTAAAAAATTTAAAGAATTTTAATAGTTCCGAGAGCATAAAATTATTATTTAAATTTTTGTCAAATACATTCAGATCATAGTTGAAGATGCTTAATACAGCACGAATCAGAGTAATATTCATAAATTTTCAGAACTATTTTCGAAGTTTTAAATCACGGAGTATAAAGATACAGATTAAATACAGAGCCTTCTGCTTGAGCTGTACTGGTACGTATGATAAAAGAAAAGCCTGTATTCGGGCGATAACAATGATAGGAAGGAAGCCAAGGTACTGGCGCTATCTATTGTTGAAAAAGGAAAGCAACTGTGAGATAATTTCCTTAAAAGCTGAGGGTAAAGATGGATTGGGACAGGGATTTGCCTAAATCCCGATAGCACCCCCAATCCCATTTGAGCTGATCCGTTTCACTGCAACTGCTGATCCAACTTTTTGATGTAATGTTATCTGTGCACGCTTTTTTCTACAAAGACGAAAGACAAATTAGCCGTTTTTTCCAAACTGATCAGGTTGGTCATTGTTAATAGTATGATGATAAATGATACCACCATGTTACATTTAGTGCTTATGTTACCGGCAGTGCATGAAACGCCGGCATTCTATAGAATACCGGGCATTTTTACACAAAGTATGAAATATGAGAATTATTATGTACTTCCTCTAGGCACTGCATATAACATCTAAGCATACTTTAGAATGGTAAATACTGTTTAGGCAAAGTCTGAAAGAGATAAGGCTATTATTTAAAAGACGTGCATTCCTCAAAAATACAAATGCTATTTTGAAAAAATAATGAAAGATTGCTATTAAATAACTTTTACTTAGGACTTTCAGACTCAACCATTACAAGTTTTTCCTTTATTTAATTTCTATACATATAGGTTATTTATTTTTATTCCTTTATTTTGTTCCATACATTCCTAAACATATATAATCTTCGGGATTGTTAAGGCATGTGTGTCCAGCATCTTTTCCTTTTGGTCGTTTTTTGATAACATTTGGAAATTCTGCTTCTTACTTTTGAAATAACCAAATAATGGTCATAGTCTATGTTAGCCCATTGATAACTTCTAACATCAAGAAGACAACTTTTATGCCTTAAGTCCATCAATACATGATCAATCTGATTCAATGTGTTCCCATCTGGCGAGCACCATGTATTTTTATTTATTGTCTCTAAGTTCAAAATTTGCGCTCCCGATGACCATTTCCACTCCAACTGCTACGTCCAAAAGTCCATTTCCATTGTCATTGAACTCGCTGTGCGGAATAAGCTTTCCAGTAGAGTTCTGTAATTATAATCTCTACTTATGCTTGCATTAAGATCTCCTATTACCACTCTTATATCATTAAATGAGCATTTATTGTAATTCTCTCCCAACTTGTCACAAAATATCTCTTTTTCTAGTTCTTCTTTGTCCTAGGTAGCGCATGTACACATATAATGCTCACGTTTTGTGGTATGATCTTTAACCGTATTTTACAAATTCTTTCGTTGACAGGTTCAAAATCTATAACTTTATCTCTAATTCTTTTATTTACGACCAAACTGGTTTTATCTTTACAGCTAAAATGCAAGCTGCAACTTCTCTTGTCTAGATTTCTCTTTCCTAACCATCTTATCTCCTGCATATAGTTGTTTATAATTCTTTCATAAGTTCCCAGTCGGTATAAACCGTCCTCTAGAATACTCATTTTCATCTACCAATATATTGCGTGAATTAGTGTATACGTTCCCTAGGAATTGTATATAATACGGAGATGTATTTCTTACTTTGGCGGTTAGTCATTTGGCCGGTTAGTCTATAGAATGCCTAAAAAATGTATAAAATGTTAATTGCTTCATGCATTTTCGGCATTCTGTAAAATGTCTAACTATTCTATAGAATGCTGCCGGTAACATATATTCCTCCATCTTACATCTTACGGGCGGTGTCTGTGTGAGAGACGGAAAATAACCATTCCGAATCAACATAGCATTAAAATTGAAGCATGAACCTTTTTAATGTTATTGGGACGAACGCATGAATTTTTGTTTATTTCTCGTTAAAGTGGGTTTAAAATATTTTTCCAGCTGTTTTAGAATGAACAGTTTTCAATAACTGTTACTGCGGTGGTAGCAGTGTGCTTTTTACCAGACCAAGTTATTATTTTTTTCAGGTTTGGGTTTAGGATATGTAAATTATTTGCAAATGCTAGATACAACCTTCAATTCTTATTCTGCTGATCTTAGACATAATTTTATTTATATACTAGATATATGATCGTTGTGTTAGCGTAAAATTAAGTTGCTTCTGAAAACAGTCTTAATACAGCATGAGAAACGATTCTAAGTATAAGAAAGCTAATTTTTATATGATAGTTATAGAGCAAAACATTTTCTTAAAAAAATATTAGTTAAGCTTTAAAATTAATTGCAAAAGGATCCATAGCATTACTATACAAAATTCGCATTAATTAATATTTTCACGAGACCAGCTGCAAATCAATAATTATTGCTGCTTTACTCAAAGTAGATTAAACGCCAACACAAGAAACTTGTATTCATTTTTGTTAACTGATTAGGACAAGACACATAAGGGTTACCACCAAAAGGCAAGAAAGGCCCATTGAGGGCTTTATTAGGCAAATTGGCTCTCTCAGTTATGTTACGCATGGGGAGAAGATGTGAGACTTATAGAATCCTATGCAGCCAGCCCTTTCACCGTGGCTAACGCCCGGTTGTATATTAGCAATCCGTACATCGCTAGTACAACTACTTGAAATTGACCTATGAGAGATCAGGTAAGCGTCAGTATTAACTCTGCCCACAGTGATATCATATTGCAGGGAGTTTACATTCTGTTTCTCATATATTAAGAAATATGTCGCAGAATATATTTCAAACCAGCTGGCGTAAAATGGTTTTGTTGCCACAATAAACTGATTTATTCAAAATGTTTCAGTTTGTATCATATCTATCATTAATGGAGTTCCTTAGGGGTGAAACTAATTCTGGTAATACATTAATGTCAATAAACTTCAGACCTTATGGCATCAACATTGTAAGAGAAGATAATAGTAAAACTTATGTGGACTGCCATTGGCTAAATTTAAGCGGTGGTAATAACGGTATGCTTTATATGTGGCGCCCCGGTCTAACTTACAAGTGTTCGGCGATTTAACCCATTCAGGCACTACTGTGCTGGAGCAACTTTCTAATTGCTTCACTGGTGCAAAATACCGAATTTCGATGTAGGCATTCAAAGTTGTATTAGTAATTGTTTTTTGAAGTGTCTTGAAGCTCACATGTAAAAATATTGAATGATCCTAGTCATGTAAGTCATTTTCTTCGAACATCCTGAATACTTAAGCGTGTAAACATTTCTGTTATAAATCAGCATTTTCATTAGGAATAATTAGTTAAATATTACGATGACAAAGAAACATTACTTGCAAGATATTGTTTTGCAGCCTTGTTTCTTCAGCAGTAATCAACACGCAGATCTTTTCCATCTGAGTTGTGCTGAAATAGAAAATTTACTTAAGTATTATGAATAAATTTTTATACTTTAGCTTGGCATTTCTGTGTAACATTCAAAATTGCCACTTGCACAGAGTAATGAAATGAACATTGCTACAATTATGACATTTGTGACATATGTGCATGTCTTGTTGCTGATAATTTTTGTATTATTATTATTTCCTTTCAAGGTGGTCACATAAACCCTGCAGTCACAGTGGCATTTGCAACTCTCGGCAAATTTCCGTGGAAGAAAGTTGGACATTATCTTTTGGCCCAACATTTAGGCGGCTTTGTGGCATCAGCTGTGCTCTTCGTCACTTACAAAGGTAAACTACTTTTCCTTTTTGTTAAATTATATCTGTTAAAAATATTGAATATCATTTAAAGTATCAAATTTTAAAAAAGAAAAATGAAAATCTTGTTCAGTAAAGTTTTTAAGATGACGTGACGTATTGCGTCTTTAGCAGCCATGTCTGAAAAGTTAGAATGCAGCAATTTTTTTCAAGTGAATATCCACCAGGAAAACTTATATTGAACTGAAGCCGTCAATGTTGGACAATGAATCTCAAATAAAAGTTGAATGAAACTGCTATTAAAATTGAAAACGGATGCAGCAAATCTTCGAGTAATCAAGGGAAAGTGACAAAACAGTTAGTTATGATATCCCCTCCCCAATTTTTTAAAAAATTCTCTTTACCTAGTTTTTAATTTTTCCGATACTCTAGCCAAGGAGCTTTGGTTACAGGAATGGATTACCTTTCTCTTTTGTATGAGATGGAACAAAGGTTTGAATGAATAATATCCCAAATAACTAAAATATTAATGTTCTCTTGTGTGTAAAACTTTCGAAAAATTAAATTAAATTAATTTAAAATTAAAAAAATAAGAAAATTAAAAAACAACAATTTTTTCGTCATAAAAATGTTATTTCATATTAGTATAAAGTTATACATGGTCTAGTATTTGAACGTTTATTCCTTTAAGTTTTAACGGACACATAGCGAGTTATCGTTATGTCTGAAATTATAGGGCAAAGTCCAAGAAGGGGTTTTAAAAGAGTCTTTTTATTTAAAAAGAACCTTGAAAAAAGGGGCACGACTTTGAGCTACAATAACCACAACTCTTGGTTATCCAAATAAATAATAACAGTCAATATATTTAAACGTAGATCAGTAGACTGAGATTGCACAGTTAACTACTAAGCTATAAGCTGGCTCAATAATTTAACAGCTTGTAAGTTTAACGCGAGGAAACTCAAAGCCGAGCTAGTTATAACTAGCTAGAGTTGATAGAATCTAAACGTGTACCCTGCATGCCAGAAACACACTCTCTCCTCAGATTCAGAAACCTCCACTTTAATATAGAACCAAAGTAATTTGCATTTTGATGAGAAATACGTAAAGAAGTTAATTAAAGATCCATATCATAATAACTAGTTAATTTAAAATAAGAAACTTACATTGTAAGTATTAAAAAAAATCCTCATAACTGTCTTTTAGTTCTGCTTGGGCATTTTTGTTTGTATTGTTTATCTACGACGGTTTTCAGAGGCTTGCGGTAAGGCACGGGTTTAACTTCGGCTATTGTCATACATCTACTGAGAGGTTTGAGGTTTCTTTCAATGCTTTCCTTTTTCAGTAGCACCATAAGATTCAATAACCCCATAAGAGAGAATCAGATGCTATTACATCTGGAATCTTTAGTGAGAATTCCGTTTAGATGTGTTTCAAAATCAAATTCATCTGCAAAAATCAAATCTTTTCATCTTAAATCTCTCAAGTTCTCGTTTTATAGTCTGAGGTGTAAAAGCTTAATCTAAAATTTTTCTGAAAAAAGACTTGATTTTTAAAATTATCTAAGAATTTTTTGGTCCACTTTACGGTTTCTTCACAAGAACGAAATAGGAAGGACATTTAAATATAAACAAAAATTTTCATGCTGTGTCCCTATAAGAAATTCTACGTAATCACGACACTTTGATCAAATGTATATAAAGTACAAACTTGTATGTTTGCCCAAAGAGCTTATATATGTCAATAGCGCAATAAACCCCTTCGAGCGCGGATTTGTAGAGTACGACTTCCCATACACACGCTGTCTTAATTATTTCCATTTAATTTGTCCAACACTATAATTTTATCCATACGTGATTTGACATTAATTCATCAACATTAAATGCTTGCTAGTATTAGATCCAGCCAGAAGTTATCAGCAATTTTAATGGATTTCCATCGATTGTAAGCCAAAGAAACCGTACATATTGGAAAAGAAAATGGCGACGAAAAATTTTCAGATATGTAAGAAGAAGAAGTGAAAGAATTAATCGAAAAATGACGGAACAAAAGCTGGAGGATCTTATAATCCCAGTTGATGGTTAAAGCAGCGATAATTAAGAAGATAAAGCTCTTTTAACCTACAAGAAGTTAAACGATATGTTAAAATAGTTACAGGAACAGTCTGGTTTTGCAATGGAGATTGACTCAAATGAAGAAAGAAAAGGGCACTTTATGAGACGCACTGATTACGTTCCCTATCGCGAAACTTTTAAAGACTCGCGTCATTGTCCGAAAAAAAAATTACTAGTTTGTAAAAAAAAAAACAAATAATTGTATCATATACTTATTATGCCGTAATAAAAATCCTTTCAGTTAACATTCGTTTCTTTCTTTTTAATCACAATAATGCTTAAGATTGTTTAAATTGTACGTGTTTTCTTAACCTGAACTATACTTAACACGTATTTTCCATAGAAAGTCAATTTTGCGAAACCCGATTTTTCTGCACGCGTAATGTGTGAATGACGTAAACCCCGCGTTCGGATAGTTTGAAACGAGTGTGCTGTAGTGCTAGTTTCTTTTTCCATTACTCGTGTTAGCTGTAATCAACATATCGGAGCAGGAGTATATAAATACCATAGCTACCATTCTTGAAATACGAAAAATCCTTATTTGAAAAAAGGAAATTGTTAAAGGTTTTGCTTTGTGTGTGATGCCATTTCAAAAGAATTCAGATGAACTTAAATTATATTTTATTACAGGATTTAGGCTATTGTATTATTTATAATATGATTTTGATATGAAACGTGTTACTATTCAGTTAGACATTACGTTCTTTCATTAATTTCATTTTGTAAGATGTTTATACTTTTGTGCTGAGAAAATACCAAGTTAGGGAGAAAAGGTTCTATTTTTCGAAGTATTTTTATACGTAATAAAAGTAAAATTTGTAATTAATATAATACTGTTTATTTAAAACCTAAAAGAATGGATGCCTTTATTGAAAATTTTCTGAAAAAAGTTATCTGGTGTTTATGGTATGTATGTGGGGAAAGCAAATGAAAGCTTTATGCAGCCAACCTTTTTATTCTCCGAGAACATAAACCAAGTAGGAATACTAATGCTTCATAACTTTAGCCTCTCGACTACTCTACAAAAATTATAAATTAGGATTAAAGTTGAAAAAAAATAATAATAAAGATGCGTAATAATATATTTTAATAAGATAATCATTTTCCTTAAATGTGTAATTAACAGATGAATTTATACGCAAAATAATGATTTCATTTAAAGTAAGTACTATCATTGAATCATTTAAAAGCAGAATTGAAATAAGGGCGTTTATTTATTGGTATTCGCATTGGGACGTGAAAAATCCAACTTTAACGTTTCAAATACATTTTCCTTATGCATAGACTTCTACAACTTAATTTAGTCAGCAAACAAAGTAATCGGTTTGGAAAACATATGCATAAATAAGTAATAGTAAATGGAAGTATATAGTAAATGGAATTATTTTGGTGGTGTGAAAATGGCAGATAAAGGCATTTCAACATTGTAGAGTTGTTTACGGCTTAAATTACAGTCCATTTTCATTAAGTGCGGTTTTAGAATTTTATTTAGAAACAGGTACGTTCCTCCATTGGCTTGGTATCTTTCACTTGCAAAGTTGTTGAAAAGCTCAATACTTCCTTTTATGTGGACATCACTGCATTCCTTTTACGTGCACATGAGTATATTCCTTTTATGTGCACATCACTGCATTCTTTCTATGTGGATATCACTGCTTTCCTTTCATGTGGGCATGACTGTATCACTCTAGTTAAAACCAAGAAAGAATTAAAACAATTTCTAGAGATTTCATCAAAAGTTATCGCAGAGGCCGAATTTGTACTAAGAACGTGGGAACATATGCAAAAGCCAAAAGGATTCTCTGACGGTTCATATTTTTATTCACGGATGTCTTCTGTATTAGGCTTAGTGTCGAAAAAGGTCAACACATGCACTTCGATATTGTATACCCACTGTAGATAAAAATCGAGATCTTGTTACAAGACGGAGCATACCATCTCTTACGAAAAAGATTGTTGATCCAATTGGATCTACCTGTTTAGTCACGATATTAGCGAAACTTATGCTTTAGGCAAGGTGGAAATCTAAGCTGAGCTAGGATTCAGAGTTACCAGACGATATTAAAAGGAAATTTCTGAAAGCATAGAAGATCTACACCTACTGCGGTTTGTGGAAATTCTTAAGCATGCCTTTCTTAATGAACGTTCAAAAGTGAGTCTACACGCCTTTTCGGATGCCTGTGGGACTTGTTGTGATACTGTTGTTTATTTAAAATAACACTCCCACAAAACAGTTTGTGTACATCCATTGATGTCAAAATCTAGAATAACGCTTTGGCAAGAAATATGTATAACTCTTAATTTGCTGTCTCTTCGCATTACTTTAATTTGCGAAAACGAGCCTCAGGCTTCAAAACACCATGGGAAATTTCTGTACAAATTCAACCATGAAACCTGTAAAGTATTTGTATTAAATATCGTAATTGAAATTCATAGGCTGAGACGGGTTCAAGACTCAAAATACATTCCCGGACCATGTAATCCGTCTGATTCTAGTTTCAAGAAAGATATTCGCACCAAAACTGCTTTGTTTGAGATGGTGAGAGAAGCGCCCACTTGGTTACGACTTGATGAATAGGACTGTCCGAAATAAGAGACGACTTTTGATGAAAGGAAAATAATAAAAGAAAAGGTGAAATGTATTACTTTGATGGCAAATGAATCTAATGTAAGTGACAACTTTTTATCTTACTTCTGAAGTTGCTCGAAAACCATCAGAATGTTTCGTTGGTTTTCCGATTTTTTTTAACTCAAAGAATCGAAATGATCTAAGAAGGAGAATCAAACTGTAAATGAAGCAAATAAGATGATTATCAAAACTATTCAAAATGATGTGCTAACAGAAAAGCGCATTAAAGGTTTGAAGGTCATTAAATATCTTAGAGGATGAAGAAGGGATTTATAGAATAAAGACAAACTAATGGAGTGAAATGGTAAACAAGACCTTCAGAATTTCTGTTATTCATCCTGGAAAGCATTGAAAGGTAGCGCTGCTGATCAAGGAGAGGCATCTGAAAATGATGCACGCCGAGATGCACATTTTATTATCTAGTTTACGAAAAAAGTTTTTGGTAATTAATGGAAGAACATCTGTTCGTCTAGTAGTCCAGATATGCCTAAGATGTGAAAGACACAGTTCCAAAACTTTAGAAATTCTACAAGCTTCTTAGAAGACCAAATTAAGGAAGCTTCGAATTTGAAGAAGTTAATCTCGCTGCACTATGGACACTGCAAGGATTGCACTATATACTTGCATGGCGTATCGTACTGTGCGTCCAGAAACACATCACAGCTTTATCAACCAAAGCTTTTCATATCAGTTTTAAAAGATTTATTGCTCGCAGTGGTCATCCAGAAATCATTTATAGTGACACTGGCTTGACTTTTGTTTGTGCGGCAAATTTATTTCAATCCATTGATTGGTCTGCTGTAAAATAAGAGGCGACGTTTAAAAGAATACCGTGCAAGTTCAACGCCTGACTGGAATCATAAAATATCTCTTAAGATGAGTTTTAGGAAGAGCGTTATTGGATAATGAGAGTTGGAGAGTATTCCTGTGCGAAGGTGAAACTATCGTTAATTCAAGGCCTTTGACCATATATTTCCGAAGTTCCCGACGAATTGATTCCACTGATGCCTTTTATGTGCTTGCTTAGTATTTAGAAAGGTGGTATAACAGACCTAGATCTAATTTACAAATAGGATTGTCAGAAACGATGGAGATATCTTCAAATATTGAGAGAAAATATCAGGGAGCGATTTCGTGTGGAGTATCTCGGACAACTACTTACAACGTAAAAGTGGTAGACAATGCATCCAAATTCACGTTGGTAATATAATTCTTATTGGGAGTGATTTCAAAAGGTACTAGAGCTTTATCCAGTGAAAGATGGCAACGATCAAGTTGCAAGACTAAAACTTAAATAGAAGAGATAACTCAACCACTTCGGAAAACATATCCAACAGAGATAAAATGTATGTCGGTTACTTTAGACCAGGGTTTGTTAAAATTTTTCAGTCGTGACCCCTTTTTATCAATGAGATTTTTTCGCGACCCCAAGGACTTCATAATATTTTTAAAAAATTTATGGGACCCCATAAGTATTGCGCAAATGCGACACACGCGTGAGTGAAACTGTCAATTTTTTCACTTGTACTGTAATATACTATTGCAGTTTTAGGTCATTAACTTTAATTTCTAAATTTAAAACATAGAACAATGTAACAATTTTAAGTAAGTAACAGATAAAATGAGAGCGTCACGTGCAAAGCAAGGAAAATGAACGTTTATATTATAAAAAGAATGTTTCGAAACGTTTTCTTTTTTTTTCTTTGTCTGCATTGTGTTATCTTTATCTATTTTCAGATACATTGTGTAAAAATATTTGGTAATTGTAAAATTATTATAATAAGTTAAAAGAAATATCAAACTGCTAAAATTTTTGGCGACCCCCTGCTGCAGGTCCCAAACCCACAATTTAAGAAACCCTTCTTTAGATTAAATATGCTCATTAAATCAGATAAATGAGACAGCTCGCTTGAAATTGAGAGACAATGAGTTTCTTTTTAGGCATAAACATTTTATTTCAATTATTTTCAACAAACCGCTTCATTACAAACTCATTTCTATTTTTAAAATCTTTAAACTACTGTTCTACTCAATCTCGCAATAAAGAGAGGCGTTGCTGCCCTTTTTCAAACAAAGTGTTAACTGAGGTAGTTTACTTACCATAAGTGGCGAAACGATGTAATTCACTTTCTTGAGATATTTGACACTGCTATTACTTCAGATTCAGAATTTATGACTATGTGACAGGTTCTGACTGTTACTGATCTAGGTCCAGACGTATTGACTGCCGATGCTCCAACGTCAGAAAACCTCTTAGTTCCAAATATTCCAACGGCTGAGAGAGATGTGATAGCCACCAGGATTGGTAGAACTCTTAGATTAGCTGTGAGGTTTCGACAGAACCGAATGTGAACTCGGGTGCATTTTAACTTTAATAGTTAATATTATTCTTCTAAAACTTGATACATTTATTTGTAATGCCAAGAAAAATTGTATTTTATATTAATTTATATTGATATTGAATAGGAGTTTTGAAGGAGGGGGGGATATCTCAAACAATTTCAGAGTGGGAAGGAAAATACCCGTAGTTTCCTTCAATGAAAACAATAAAAAATTACTATGAAAGTTTGATTATCTTGCCTCTGCATAAGTACTTATACAGGTAAATGAAATTTTAGTGCAACTTCTTTCACAAATATCAATTATTTTCAGCTTGTTTTTTTTTTTTTCCATCTGTTAACACTTGGTTACAAAGAACAATTATGTGCTCTGTCTTATGTCTTTTCAATTATAAATAACGCAGTGCAAATTTAACTAATTATTAATATGTGTAAGATTTTTAATTATCAGTCCATTAGAACTTGAAACGTTCAACAATTATAAAATCATTTAGGTTTGTATAAAGATTTCTTTCTTCTATTCTAGATGCGTTGGATTACTTCGATCCGAACCGAACGATTACTGGCGACACAGCGACTGCTTACATATGGGCCACTTACCCCAAACCATATGTATCTATCCCTAGCTGTCTGTTGGATCAAGTAAGTACAGCAATCATTCTTTGTTGCTGCTGCGCTGATGTTAAAGCGAATATATAATTATTTCTTGTCCAATGCAATACTAAATATGGTCGGCTTTTATTCTCGAAACTTTTGTCCGCAGGTGCACATTTCCAAATAAAAAAATATTTTAAATGACGCAAATGTACATATTTTAGGATTTTTTAATTTAAAGAAAATCAGACTGGTAAAAATTACGAAATCTTACTATTTACACGTTCCTCCAATCCCTAGATTTACGTTTAGGAAAGTTCTGTACTCATTATAAATGATAATACAAAACGAAAAAGTTTGACTTCGACAAAAATGTACCGAGATATTTGATATTAAACTCGAAGATCATATTTAGGAACCGTACACAAAATTGAAGAGCAAAATGCTTACGTGTGTATGCAAATAATATCAGTTTAGAAAAGCTTTCCGATGTTACGAAATCACTTGGTTCGCTGAAAACATCGCGGAAGAAAACATAAAAACAACAGAAAGCGGAACCATCGTTCTTTAAAACATCGTAGGAAAAAAGAAAGCAAGGAGAAAACATCGCAGTTCTCAAATATCGTGGTGAAAAATAATGACAAATCATTGCATAACGATAACATTTCAGACATGATTTTCAGGCTTTAAAAATAATAAATTTCTATTCGCATAATGATCTGCGAAAAGAATCAAGAAGTATGTGAAATGATCATAATGATCAAAAAGGAATGAGGAAAGTACTCCTACATTTCAAATTTTTGATTAACAATATTTTGCTAAAAAAGCGAGAAGGAAACTTAAGCATTAAAATACTGAAAATGAGTAAAAAGTTAATGCTATGAAAGCTGTTAACAAAATTTCAGATTTACGTATTTAAAGGTTATTATTTAATTAATACCTTTTTTAAAGTTGCATTTTAATTTTTTCATGAAATGTGTAGCTTAAAAAGACCAGAAAGGGGAGATGAATAATTACAACAGGTTATCTTTATTGAAATTGTTTAATTATTACTAAATTGTAAATTTATTTTCTTTTACTTTGTTTTTCAGATGTTCTTTTAAATAGAAATTCAATCTCGTGTCGTTTCAGTTTGTTCGTCTTCTTAAAGTGTTATTAACATTTTGATGTGCAACCGTTTAGATAATGATTCGTTAGTTATGCTGAAACATGACAGGGGTGGCTACATAATACATCATTGAATAAGGCAAAGCACATTAGGGCTGTCTGCCTAAGGAAAGAGATGTATTTGTGTAGCATTTTGTCTAGAATTGGCTCATATCTATGATATTCATGATGAAAACCGCAAAATGTAGTCAGCTTGTTCATGGAGTTTAACTACCAGTGTCCAGCAACTTTATTGTTCGGAAACTAGTATTAACGGAAACCGTTCGTTTTTACATTAATTATTCTAAAGACTCAAATTTAAAATTATACCCAGAAAATTTAAACTCGGAATTTTTTCAAGAATAATATATAATTGCAGGAATAATTATGTAATTCACCATTAAAACAAGTGGTGTTAACACTGACTGTTTTATAAATGAAAAAAAAAAAAAATATTGTATACGCAAGCTCCAGCACAAATGTCCCTAATGAATGTATTAAACGTCAGTATATGTATGAATACACTAATGCTTTGGAAAAAGACTTTTAGAGGTTTCCATTTCAATTGATTGGCTTTGGAGACACATATACCTTTCGTTAACTTTTAAGACTAGATTAAGATTGTTTTTAATATAATTACATATTGTGATTAATGTAATTTATAAAAACAGTTTTACGTGAACTTTTTTGTAAGAACTATGACAACTTATTGAAAGCAAGTGGGAGTTCCGAACAATCAGAGTGCAAGTGCTTTAATTAGTGCATCATGTTTCAATGAAACTTTAGGCAGCATGAATTAATAACATTGCCTTTAACATTAATAATCCTTCTTTAAAAATTATTTCAACTTGTCCCATAAGTTTCACATGTTTCTGAAAGTTGTAAGCTATTTCTTCTCTCCTTATCGCATGCATTAGTAGTGTAATGGGAAGCACGTCCAGCTATGAGTGTAAAGATCTGGATCTCGGAGGTGGCACTGAACATTTTTTATGTTTTCTCCTTCGACTCTTCAGAGTGATTATTTATTTATTTATTTATTTTCATTCAACTTTTCATAACATTTTTTAAACTGTTAAAAACTTTAAATCCTGAAATAACAGCAGTACAGTATAGAATCACTGTGCCGTTATGACAAAGCAGCAATAGGCACTACTTTTTGTTTAATTTTTTTATACGTTTATTTTTATGTTATGTGTATGTATGTATAAAGGCTGTTCGCATATTTTTAGACGACTATGCTTTGCTGTTTAAAAAAAACTGTGTGCTTCCAATTTTTTTAACTGCAGCTGTATTTTTGAAAGTATACATTATCGTCTGGTACTTGACAGATTTGCTTTTATGTCAAATGGCGCATTTAAAGAATCAGCCTACGGAAGGCTATGTTGGTGCTCTTTCCGAAAACATTTATTCATATCTAGTTATTAAGAAACGCTATGAAAGCCATGGTTTTTCGATATTTAAGGCTACACATAATGTCAACAAGAAAGGAAAACAACGTGAAAGTTTGGCTTCAAGGAGAAAAATTGTTCCAAATACATATCCAAGGAAAAAACACGGTGTTACGAATGTTGTAAAGTTAAGACCTTTATGTTAAAGGAAAATCCATAATTTGAAAGGACAATTGCAAAATCATTATAAAAATTTGAATTTTTAGAATGAAAAAGGCCAAGAAACATAATGTGCATCGTCTTTCTCTGCGACATATCGCCGAACGCAGAACGCTCTGCAGAATTCTTTATGAGAAACATTTATCCGGAAAAAATGAGAAAATGTTGCCACGATAGACGAATCTTGGGTGTATTTAGATGACTGCAATAAAAACAGAATCATTTATTATCATCCAAAGAGTAGGGGGGAAAAAACATTAAAACACGGTTCAAAGAATCTAAAAAACGTTTTTCAAAGGGATTAATGGTTTTTGTTGGTTTTTCATATAACGGCTAATTAAAAATAAAGAGAGTGGAGCACAATGTTCATATCAACTCCACTTATTATCGGGAACATATTTTACACCCACTTTTCAAAGGGAAATGCCTTCTCTTTACCCACAGTGCCATCAATATGTGCCTTCTCTTTACCCAAAGTGCCATCAATATGGAGGAACTGCATCAAGATAGAGGAAGCAGCCACACATTATTAATTTCCTCGAAAAAATGGTACAAGAAACGGTTGTCAAGGCCTTAATTTTCACTCACATTCCTACTAAATCTCCGATATAACACCCATGTATTTTTGCGCTGTAGGGGTTTTAAAAAGCCGATTGTCCAAAGGTCGACCTACAGCCCTCCTTGGACTGTTCTGAGGAATCTGTTCAAGAGGAATGGAATAAGATACTTCTTCCGATACTACAAAAATTGGCTTAGAAATTGCGGTGTCGGAATATAATGAAGAATAGAGGTTATCAAACAGAGCATTTAAAACAGAAAACTTTTAGCTAAAATATTTCCATAAATACAATGAAAATCGTCTAAAAATTTACCTACAGCCTCTGTATTGCAAGTCCACGTTGTATGTAAGTTATGTATAGTTTTATGGTGTGTTATGTGTATATTCTATGTTTTATAATTCCATGTGAATGCCGAGGATGTCAGTTTGTACCACGAGGGCGGTTATAACCAATGTAAAAAGAAATACCTGTGCAAAGCCTTGTGCTTAAAATATATAAACTCGCGGGCGGCTTTTTTCTTGTCCCTGGGAGCTGTTGCTCTGAAGAGGGCGTGGAACAAACACCTGTTTACCTATGTTAGACATCAGGTGTCCCCGCCATACGTCACCAGTGTATGAAAATGATATAATTATGATTTCTTTTTTTTTGTATTTAAAGATAGAAAATTATAAACAGCCTCTAAGGCAGTTTATAATATAAGAAATAATTTTATAATATAATTATTATAAGAAATAATTCAGTGGCATGAGATAAGTATTTTAATTATTTTAGCAATATTTCTAAAGGTTAATTATTTTAGCAATATTTCTAAAACCATCCACGTTTGCCAGGGCAAATCGAAATCGCACTAAAGAGCAAATTTATGGTGTTCTTATTATTATTTACCATCATAATGAATAAGATGATATTAAAAAAATTCTAATTTATTTTCTAATTCTTTATTTCTTTTTCACCAGATTGTAGGCACTGGACTTCTAATGTTCACAGCTTTAGCCACTATCGACCAGAGGAACATGGATATTCCGAAATGGATGCATCCCGTTGTGCTTGGTTTCATGATTTCTGCGCTTGCAATGTGCTTCGGTGCTAACTGCATGGCACCGTTGAATCCAGCCAGAGATTTCGCCACGCGATGTTTCACCGCAATTGCAGGATATGGCAGTGAAGTCTTCACGTATGTAATTTATATTTGGATCAAAACATTTTTACTAATGAAATTTCTTTGATACAAGAGTAGGCGGAAATGCAAGTATGGAAAATAATGGTACATATCAAGCGATATGACAGTAGCTGTTTATGCATACTGCCCATGTGAAGTTTATTAGCTCCGCCCTGATTGCTACAGTGGTTAACGTCGCTGGTTAGCATATCGTTGCCTCCGAGTTCGACTCTCAGAAAAGGCCTGGCTGTTTGTAATTGTACAGTGCATCTATAGAATGTGGGACACTCAGCGAAACGAAATATCTCTCGGATATATTAGTGGTAGGGCAAACCTTAAATTCATCATGGGGACCCTTAAGTTCATCATATTTGGAATAGAAGTGGTCAACGTTGTACTGTCAGCTATACCCAAGGGTCATATCAACAATAGGCACAATCCTGCGTTACTCGCCATAATAACATTCGTAGAATTATGTTGTTGTCATACAAATGAAATACGTTTGATGTCTTACGGTCATACTGTCTTCCAGCAGGTATAGTGGTTAGCGATTTATGACCGCCATATCGATGGGCACGGGCACTCAAAATACACGACAAAGCCGAAAGTACTCTCGAGAAGTTTGTTGGTAGGGGAAGAGAATGGGTGACGCTCGGACCGCACCTTGAACCGCATCCCGGTGCGGCGCGGCTGTACGACCGATGCTGAAAATCTAGTGTCTCGATCACTTCTATCTGTACCTGCTACTGTCAGATAAATGATATTTGATGTTACTAGATAACTCACAACAACAAGAACATTATTAGTATGTACATAAGGTCTCCCTAAAATCACAACGACATTATAAAGAAGCATGTGATTAATGAAAGCACTGATGCGTTTAGGTAGCGAATCGCTTGTTAAAATTTTGAAATTTCACTGCTGCTGACATAATCATAGCCTTTTTTGCGTATGCTCTGTTTACGTAAAATGAGAGAACTTTTTTTTATAACTTGCTGATGTCAAAATAGTCGCACATATATATATATATATATATATATATATATATATATACACACACACAAAATGTGTTCCCGAAAGTCTTTACCCAACCTTGAGCAGTGCGTACTCGAAAGTTTCCCACTCTTTCTTCCCGTTGCTTGTTTGTTTCATTCGAACAGGCTTGAGCAGGGAGTATTCGAACGTTTTACATCGTGTTGCTAAAGCTAGTTTGTGTCTGAAGATCGTGTTTCCTTTTTTACGTCCTCGAGGTGTAGATCGAGCTATCGATTTTCGTTTTGGTGGCATAATTGATTTCACAGCGAGAGTAATGCTTTGTGACGACTATTACAAATACGCTTTCAAAAAGCAACGAAAATACGTGTGATGCAATAAAATGCATATTAATGAGTGCATGTTTTTATTTTATGCTTTTCTGAAAGACAATACACTTTAAAGTATTTTAATTTGGACAATGGCAACACGTTTCCGTTCAATACAGGAGTTTGTTTCTTAAATTCGAGACAAATTAATATAATTGCGTTCACCGGAGTGGCAACACAATTTTTTTATATCGCCGAGTTTTCTGATTAAATTTGAAACATATATATATTACGCTTTTCAGAGTGGCAACGCAAAGCTTTTAATCAAAAGTTCGTTAAATTAGCATAAAAGATATGTATGTAAAGAGTGCGGATCCCATGGACTGGGTTTTGAGAAATTTTATGTAAACAGTAATCTTCCTCTTGTTTTGGTGTTGGTGTATTTAATTATGGCAAAGCGCACGAGGGCTATATGCCTAAGGGGGAGGGATGCCTTCGTGGAGGACTTTCTAAGGGGAACTGGCTCGTATATACGTTACACATGGCGAAAACCACGAAAACGCCCATGCAGCCAGCCCGTTCGCGGGATTCGAACCTCGAACGAACTACCAGTGTTCAGCGACTTTACCGCTCGGCCGCTGGTGAGCCTCCTCTTGTTTTAAAGGTCGAAAATTAAACTGTAGATTTGTATAAGAGACAACCAAACATTTATATATATATATATATATACATATATATGTAAAATATATTATTTAAATATATTTTAAATTATTTAAACATATTTAAAATATATTTATATATGTAAAATATACAAAATACGATGGCTTTGCTCTACACAAACAGGCAACCTCTAATTAACTTTCCGCAATTTCAGGATCTTCCCCTAGACCAGTACTTTCGAGAACATTCGGCTTGTTATGTAACCGCTCTTATAAATGAAGAATTCGCGTCCTTTTGCGTCAAGAACCGCTTTCTCCCTCTACTGCTGTTAAGACCTAATCTGCCGCTCTTCTCATCTGCCTCCTTTTGTTTGAATAGTAATAGTTCACTGTAAATTTAAAGTTAATACTATTTAGTTCAAATTACTATCGCATATGTAATCTTGAACGATTTACGATTTGCATTGAATAAAGAGATGGAACTAAAAAGTTAAATTCTTCTGTGTTTTCAGTTCTGATGTTTTCCACTTTCGCCACGACCACCCCGGGATCTGAAGTGACCAGATTGCTAAGCTTCATCATTTCTAATGCCTGCCTGCCAAAATATTACACACACACACACACACACATATATATATATATATATATATATATACACTGCTGTCCATTAGAATTGCAACACCAGAAAAGAATGATCTGACGAACGAAAAAAAAAAAAAACACATGAAAAGAAGAAGAGCTTGGGATATGCGAATGATTAGTACTTCAGCGCATTTACACGAAGCAGGAGGGAGAAAGGCATAAAACTGAAGCACTGCATAAAACAAAAGTTGTGTAGTGGATTTTTCATTCGGAAAGCATTTTGTAAGGTCGGAGTTTGCTCAGAATATCGTGTTATGCCTCGAATAATAATAAGAAATGCTTACCAGCAAGTGTCGTAATTCGATAAAGGCAGAATCATGTCCTATCGAAAGTTTGGATTATCGTTCAGTGATAACCCGTCGCACTGGTCGACATCGACCCACTGGTATGCAAATATAAAATCAATGAGTTGCTGAGGGTAATACTGAACGGCATGCAGGATCTCAAAGCCCTCCCATCATTAAAGCCCGAGAGGACAGACATATTATGAGGTCAGCCCTGCGAAACCGTAGCACCTTATCACGGACCATTAGTCAGGAAATGGACATGTTTGCAGTAAGTCCAGTATCAGCTTGTAAGATGCGTCGACGTTTGCCACAGCGTAGACTATCAGCAGGGTGACCATTATTTCGGCTTCCCTTGATAATGCAGCATAGATAGAGAGAGACGGCGACTCTGGTGCGCCAGACGACAAAGCTGGGCACAGGAGTGGCACAATGTCGCCTTTTCAAACGAGTCCCGTTTCTACGCGCAGTATTCTGATGGCTATATACTGTTATGTCGAGAATTTCAATTATTAATATGTGTTTTAAATTATTATTATTATTATATTTTTATTTGTATTCATGTGTATTTTGATCTGGGAAAAAAAGTATTCTTAAGCTCTTAAGGTTTTATTTAACTCATTATTCTTGAGTGGGAATTGTAACAAAGGCGAGAGACGGTTGCGAGGACACACATCTGGTTTATGGCCTTTCCAACAATGAAGGCAAAAGGGTCTTTTTAGCTAATGCGTGTGAAACGGAAAGCGCTTTCCTGTCGCTTTGTAAGTTTGCAGTTTTATTACTTCAAGACAGTGGGGGTGGCTGGTAATTGGATTTTCGTAAAAGCTTAGTTTCACTTGTTAGTTGGGGGGTCTATTTTTTTTCTCACGTTATGAGTGCAGATGTTTTTAGGATTTCATTGTCAGATTTTCTGGTGTTTGATTCGTCATGGGTGTGTCATTTTCTCAATTTAGATAACATAAAATTCCGGGATTGGTAAGATTTAATTTTATGATTTTTTTGAAAGCCTATGAACTCACAGAGGCGAAGAAACCGAGTTTTCCTGGGTGCTTGCACCAGGCTAAAGTTCAATTCTGATTCTGATTTTCAAAAAGAGTAAGAGGAGAAAAAGCGGGGGCTTGACCCTTCGGGTCTTGCTTCTCGCGAGCCGCGTGAACAGCCGGCAGAGGGTATGATTTTTCTCTCGGCTTTTAGCTGGCGAGAATTTGCGTTGGCATAAGGCATAGAGCTCCGCAGAAGAATTTCGATTTCTCTTATCCCAAGAATTGTTCGGCAGATTCTCTTGGTGATCCTGACATCCAGATGCGGTATTCCTGTTTTACCGGCTTTGACTTCCTAATTAGATTTTGTTCCAAAGGTGCTCTACGCTTATGGTGAGTTTCGGGGCTTCCAGAATGAAAGAGACTCGTGTAGGACCCTTCTAAGGTGTGCATTGCTGTTTATTCTGCCTGTGCCAGCTGCGTCAATTTTTTTTTTCATCATTCCATATTCTGGAATTTATTTATTGTAAGGACAGCTTCAATGGTGTTACAACCAAGTCATCTGTAAGATTCGCAAGAACTGTCTGCCTCCATTAACGATGATTTTGTGAATAAAGGACAGCAGGAATAATGTGGTGCTCGAGTAAACTTTGGACGCTGGACGATCTGTTGAACTATCTAAAACTCCGTATTAATCCGTCGATGATGGCATTCTCGATCTCTTCGAATGGTGAACGAAATGAGTAGGACGATCTGTTGAACTCTCTAAAACTCCGTATTAATCCGTCGATGATGGCATTCTCGATCTCTTCGAATGGTCAACGCAATGAGTAGGACGATCTGTTGAACTATCAGCACTCCATATTAATCAGTCGATGATGGCATAGGAGTTGAATGTATGAACTTCACCCTGTGAGTGAATTTTTTTTTTCTGTCTTTTGTATTTAAATTGTAACCGAGTAATGATACTATATTAATATACAGTACAACCGCCTAAATTGTGAGTTATGTAATGTTAAAAAAAATTTAGTACACCTAACATGAGTATAAGATTTAAAATGATATATATGTTAATTTACATCTTAAGGTTAATTTGTAGGGGACTGATCAGTTTACCTAGTTATCATATGTTTGAATATTCTAGAAATT